CAGGAGTATTGATTAAAATTGTAAAGCCACTAAATAACAGCAGTTCACGATGATGAAAAACATGAATTAAAGCCTTTCCTGACTTTATTTATTAAACAGCAAAACAAGTATAAATATACGCAATAAAAAAGTTAATTGCCGTGGGAAAAACAAGGTCGCAAAACGGTTTATGACATGAACTATTATACTACCCAGAAACTCACTGATGCCTACTCTTCATTCGTTATGCATATGCTTTCTGTGCCAATATTTAAGGCCCTTTCAAGAATGCTTGGTTGTTTTGCGGCGACTTCAATTTCTCCATGTGATCAATTTTACATAATTCGTACCAACTTATGCAATGAAATGCTTTAAATGGTACAGAAAGGAAACTTTTGTAATCTGCATTTTTACAGAATCCTTTTTGCGAAGGAGTATTTTAGAACTGTCTTCGTAAAATGGCTAATTTTTTGTATTTTTGTGATAAACTTGCTTTCGCCTTGTCTCCTTGCCAATTTCAATTTATGAATATGTACTATGATTGCTGAACGAAAGATTCTGCAAGTGACTTCACCCGAATTAACCGATGAGTATGAATGACAGTTTTATCAAACCGTCTAGACTCTGAACGATGGATTGCCTGACTCATGGCTAACTCGAAAGAAGATTTGTGAGGAACAAATGATCCTTGAATGATCCAAACGAACAAAGATTCTGGCTTAACTGTGGCAAATTCAACTGTAAGAGTCGCACCTTGGAAAGGATGTGGCAGTAATAATCCGCATATTTTTTCTGACTATTTCTAGATTTTGATCTCTCTGCAATAAAGCAAAAGTCGTTCTACTTTGTCAGCAACTTCGGTGATAGCGTATCGCCTGAATTTGCATAATTTATTAAACAAACAGCTGCAGCAAAAGATACGGCTGAAAGAATTCAATGCGTGAAACAACTAGCACGAATAGCCAAATGGACCTGTTAGACAAACGACACGTAATAAAGGTCATCTGTACTTTCTGCGGCAGGTTCCAAGCCTCTGTGCACATAAGATGACACAAAGTAGATTGGAGAGAACTAAAAATACAGTTCAAGGATACTTTTAATGTGATTGCATAAAAGAGTAGTTAATTATAAAACACTGGTTATAAAAAGATATCAAACGTTTTGATCACAAATACGGTTGATATTTACAATAACTTAGTTGCGAACTCATCTCAGAAAGTAGGACAGTGTATTCATTAAGTAAATAAATCTTTACATTTCTGATTCTGGGCCCATAGTTATATACACGGTTGTTTGAACGATTCATGATTCGGGGCACCAAATGCAGCAGATGGTCAAACCGTCTGATGCCAACGCGTTTCACTGCACACACCGCAGAATCATCATAGCTGGTCTAAGTACAAATGACTGATTGAAGGCATTTATATCGAACAAGCGATAAATGCCAATTTTTCAATTGACTTATTACACACAGTCAAGATGTTGTTACATTGACTGAACAAAGTGTAATGTCACATCAAAAGAGTTAATATTTGCAGAGATTATTACAAAGTATTTAGCGCCGTTCGTGTCTGCCAGTAAAGGAAACCCTACTATACCTGATTACATGTTCCATGGAAATATCCAGTCGGCGGATGTGGCCATATCGTAATTTCCTTGACACTCTAGTAGTGATTTTCAGCCACATTACGTTTAAGGAAACTGAACGAGACGTGCTTGCGCTGGGTCACCGATTCAGCATCGCCAATCCTACTGGTTCTATCTCTGACATTGTGGTTGGTGTAGAGAAAGGATTCCTTCACTCCGCTCAAAGGCTGAAAAATCTCAAAGAAGAGACCGTTTCCGGCGTTGGCCTTACTGTCCGCAGTAATATCCGTAAAGCTCGCCCTAACCGGACTGCCTCCTTTGCTTTGGATATTAAAGGACTGGGTATTGAAGGATAGCAACATGATTGTCCTATGCGTTAACAAAGAAACTAAAATAATGGCGATGTCTATTGATAAATATGAAGCTGGAATGTTGGACCACTTCAGGGATTCCGATGTGTACATCAAATTCCAAATTAATGCCAACCCTGACAAGACCACGCGCCAGAAACTGGTGGATGTTGTAAGGAATTTGCAAAATGGGAAGGCCATCAACCAAGAAGGTGTACAAAGAGTCTTGCCTAGTACTGATTCCTGTATAACTTCAAGACCTCATGGATAAGTGAAATTTCATAAGTCTGGAAGTCCGGCAACCTGTTCCATGTAATGATACCCGCTAGGGAGAACAGCAACCTACCAGACTGCCCAAGAGCTGGATCGATTACCGAAACCTGCCGCTAATGTGACGACTTACAGAGTACAAGACAGAACGAATATGATCATCAAGACCGCGTTATGGCTTCGTTAGACGCCACCGGCCTTTTCAACCATGGGAATACTAACAAGCTGCTTAATATTCTAATTGATATCTTCAAGAACACGACGGACAAATGGAGGGCATCTGAGAGCATGTTAAGAAATTGCAACGTGGATGACCCAATGACAATTGTTGGCCTTGTGAAGAATGACACCGGCTTCAAATTCACGAGCAATGCGTATTACCACACGTACGGCGTTCCGATGGGCTCCTCGGTGAGTGTTATTTTAGGTGATCTTTATATGGACCACCTGGAGCCTCAAGGAATGCCCGCTAGAATTCCGACCGCTGTTCTATGGCGATTCGTTGATGACGTTTTCCTATTATTCCAACGAAATAAAGACAAACTGAAAAGATAGGAATGTTCCTTGAATTAGATGAATGGACAGTATAGAAAAGGCGAATTCGGTTTGCCACTGAAGTGGAAGTTAACCACGTTCTATCCTTACTGGACGTGCTGGTGAAAAGAACTCCAACGCTTGAATTTGAGTTTTCCATATAGGAGGAGGAGGAACATGAGTTTCCAGCCCAAGGAACCTGTACTAACATTTCGGGCCTAAACTCAGAAATCCAACATCTTCACCATACGTTACTAAACAACTTTTACTGAAGGAGGATCCTTGACGAACAACATGCGCTACCCAGTTAAAACTTAAAGATGATCAGTTCGTGTCGATCGGTGGTAATTTTACCATTCAGTGTCTCAGGAGGTACCTCAGTGACATGGAGTTTAAAGTACAAGACTAGCAGAACATTGGACGACTTGTGTACAAAAAAGTAGATGCCCATTAATAACCCGGAAGATGTGTTAAATGTTATCTACGACGTTTAGTGCAGAGATTGCGCAAAGTATACGTTGAAAGACCATCCAGAAATTGATCATCCGTATAAAAGAGCGTCTTGCTGCCGTCGGCTTGGACAGGCTGACAATTCAGGTGTCACCCTGCATGCGATTTCTGAAAGGCATTCTTTCAGTCAGATCAGTGTGTTTCTCACAGCAAAGACCAATCGAAATTGGGTCTGCTGATAAAGCACTCTTTGCATACACTGGCAATGAAAAACCGGACGTGCAATGAATTCATATCTTCCATTTTTATCAGTGACAGCCAGAGAGCGATCACAATATTGACATGCAAAATCGCGTCGAAATTACAACGATTATTTTGATGAGCACATTATACTTTGTTCAGACAGTTTAACAACGTTTTGGCCGTATGTGATGAGTCAGTGGAAAAATTGGCAATGTTCGGTTATTGCACATAAATTCCTTCAAACAATCATCTGAATTCACTCCATTCCTGATGTCTGGGTAGGAAAACGCGTTGTATTTGGTGCTCCGAACCATGAATCATTCAAACAACTATGCATATATTCATTACGATATAGGTTGTTTCATTCTCAAGCCATATAGAGCTTCTTAGACTTCTCTAAAGTATCATCCTTCTACCAACTTATAAACCAATAACACATGAGAAGTGAGGCCCCTATTGAATAAGGTAGGACATGCCCATAAAATTTGATCGTTTTTTGACTTCACCATCTAGTAAGTCGCATCAGCATCATCTTCAAAACACGTTGATGATGCTTATTCATCAGATCTGATAGTAAATTCATGAATATTGTGAGAAAAGCGTCAATTGCAGTTATGATGTTACTTTAGAGTACTTTAGAATATATATACAATCGGTATATATATATCCTTGATCCTTGATACAGAGAAAGCATTTAGAACATTTAAATAAGCAATAATTTAACAGTATTTTAACTGCTGCGGTGCTTCGACAGATTTTTTTATCAGAGTGAGTAAAAAAGTACACAAAACATTTATTTGCCGATTAAACTATTTATCCCGCTACGCTCAAGCAGAAAAAGTTTCGTCACTCGCCAATGCACTCTTCAGTGGAACAGCTAGAGAAGCTCCGGTGCATCGGGATGACCAGCAGCGTTCTCGCGAACCATTCCTAGCCGTGACTAAACAGGTTCCGAGTTTAATGCTGCATTGTCTGTCAAGTATGTTGTTGTGGATGTTTTGTCATCGTCATCTGAGGTTAACATAGTTTAAACAGTGAAGAGACCCAGATTTATGTTATCTGGCCATTTGTTTGAGGTAATGAATTATGGGTCATGAGCAAGAACAGCGATCCCGGTTAAACATGCGGCAGAAATGGGCTTTCTTAGACGAATCGTTGCACCGTTCCTCGACAGAGTCTGAAGTTCAAAGAACTCAGAGAGGGTTGGTGTACAGCCGCTGCTTCTCCAGATTGAGAAGTCGCAGCTGCGACGGTTTGAATGCTTCGAGATAGAAATTGAAATGGTTGTCACTCAACTGACCAGACGAAGATCTTGTGTATGGTCAAGAATGACTTTGGATAGGTTATTTGACGAGCTATACTACAGTTTCGAGTGATCTTCTACTCAAACTCACAGGATTGCGAGAGTTTTATGTATATCGTCTGCCCCCACCACCTCCGCTACCGAAAGCATAAGCGGTCATCGAAAGGGACTGACTGACTGAATCACCTTGTTCAAGGCCTCATTGACATTATTTGACCTACCACCTACGCACAGATTATGTTCATATTCCGTTTTTCAACGGTGCTAGCAACTAAGAGGTTGTTTCCACTCAATGACCTCAACAATTCGGCGGGAGGGAGAACGGTGCATTGGCGAATTAAGGTCATGCCTGTTTAACGGACGCATTTCAGGGGCCTGTTAACATTCGCAATGGCAGCGGCTACCCGGAAGCAGACCCATGAGACAGAGACTAAGCAGGTTGTTCTGGCAAGTAAACCGATTGTAGTACAAATTCGATTTCACGGCTCCTTCAGGGGCATCAGTTCTGATGCTGAACATGCATATCGATGACCGATGACCGATGATTAACCCTTTGTCTGTCTTTAGGTTCACGGTTGATGGTGCAACCGCCTCGATGCGCGATTTTTAGCACGCAGCACCTGCTCGACCAGCCAAGTATTTCGTTTGGCAGCTCGGCTGGGAAACTCGTTTGCAGAGGAGCGAAAAACTGCAATGATAGAGCTGAACTCGCTCTGTCAAGTTTGCCAACGATTCGACTCAAAAGAGTCAGGTGCAAACCAGTCCAGTGGTCAAAAACGCTAAGATCTAAGGTGGTGCCACCAGAGCATTTGGGAAGCGATGTCGTCGGTGAACAGAACACTGAACACCTTTGATTTTTAATCTCTTTTCGTAAATTTTGTTCCTTCCATGAAGTCAATTGCACCATCATTTGATTAGTTGGCTATTTCTTGCCTTCCTCTAGGGATACTTAAGCAAATGAATAGAATTTGAATAAACGGTTCCAATTGCATAGGATCAATTTGAGGTGAAACGCGCAGATTCAACAAATTTAAATAAAAGTACAAGATTGAAGAAGTTCAACAACCGAAGCATGGCAAAACCATTGCTGTACGTCTTGTCTTAGCGTTGACTTGATTGATGACTCACTTCTAGAACCGTTTAACACATGTTACGACGCGAATAGATTTGAACACATGCAAAAACAAGCCACGATGAAAGAAGATCAAGGACCGTTAGCGAGAGCACGTGACTCAGCAATGGCGTCCTCGTGCTGTGTTCCGACTCTTAATTTGACTTACTTACGGGCATTGCGAAGCAGCACAACAGATTCTGGCTAAGGTTAGGTGAACTGACAACCGAAAAAGCAACGAGTTCTTTCCGGAACACACCAACCGTGTAAAATGACGTCTGTTTCAACGCCCTCCTTGGAACAAGTCTCGAAACAAAACTACGAAAGAATGCCAAAGTCTTGGAGGAATAGTATGAACTTGGCTAGCTTGAAACTGTAGCTTATTTTCTTGCACTGCCAATGAGTGAATCGCACAGCAAAGAGTCGTCGATACGAAATTATAATAAATCAACAGTAGCCTTCCTCAATCCTGTACTGAAAATTTAAACGGATTAGACACGTCGCTGAACAGTACTTAAGCCGTATAGGTCACGACATCTGTTGATTCAGATTTTATGGGCACATTGACATTAATGCTGCGAAGCAGCATAATACATGACCATATTAAACACAACGCAAATCATCAATCGTTATGTGATGATTCCCATTAGTGATGCTTCGTCTCAGACCTCATTAACTTTCTCATGCTTATATGATTAATCTTCTCTACGTTGTCCACAGCGGTTATCACTGGTATAAATTTAAGCCTTGAAGTGATGTTGAATGCAACTTTGTCCTCGTATCCACGGAAGATCATGTTTCTAATTTTTTCTGGTTGCTTCGTATGGTACTCCATTTCTTACAGCGCAGCATGCCGACAACAAAGTGGTGATCGGTTGATATCTCTGCGCCTCACTTAACTCGAACTTCCATTACAGATCATCTTAAGTCAGACTATATAATTATCAAATGGATCATCGACTTCTGTACACAAGTTTCCCGGTGCCAGGTGTACTGATGCAGTCTTCGATACCCGAATAAGGTGTTCATAATGGACAATCCGTTGTTTGCACAAAACCGCAACAACTTCATGCCGTTATTATTGAGGTCGCTAGGATCGTTCTTTACAATTACTCCTTTCCATTTTCCTGAAAACTGTATAGAAACTCGTAAATTGGCCATTCGGTGATGAACCAGTACCGACGTTTCGAATCGCGTTTCACTTAGGCCTTCTTCAGGGTGAACATGGTTGACTTCCGCAATTTGTTTTTTCTCCGCTACCGTTGTGACGTTTCGTACCCTAATTTTATTTTGTTGCTTTATATTGACTGCTCTGTACGTATGGGAAAAAACAGCCGAAAGTTGTGCTGTTGCAGCTTGCATGCTTCTATTCCTTCTCGAAGAACTTTTCGATTCTGGAAGATTAGCTACCAGGTTGATCAAAACGAACTGCAGCCCTAAGGGGTGTTCACGTCATACAGCATGGCCGTGCCTTTGCCAATTCTGGCACGGCCGCGCTAAAACATTATGCCGTTCCTGTTGTCGGCAAGTCAACGATTAACTCGTTTCTCGGCTTCTAATGCCTAAGTTATGAAAACATGTTTTTTTAATCGCATCCAACACCGTCGAGGCTGGAGGTCGATCTATTACCACTCTGTTGCCATCTTCCCTCCCATTCCTCACCGGCGACTGATTAGTTCAATAGTTTCACGATACGTAATCAAGGGATCCAACTGTAAAATGCAACACTCACTTGAAGAAAAAACTACGCATGATGAAATCGCTAGTTCGTATTTCTCGTTTGACGACATCGGAGTACAACTATTGATCCCTCAACTGGCAATTGAAGGGTCATGGGAACAGATTCCTGCCAGGGCCGCTTTTTGGTCATATTTTCAAGGACGATAATAGAGCATCGTTGCATCGTTATTTATTAGGTGGAAAGTGGGGATCATGTAATTCCATCATCACTGGGCGCAGATTTCACCTAAAGC